TAAACCTACTCCAACTTTGCTGCTTTTGCATAACGCTATGTGTGGCATTTGTGGTGGAAGATGAGCAGTAAGCATTGGAATTTTTAAATGTTTTTGTTGCTTAGCAATTTCCACATCCAATGGTCTGAATGTCTGTCCCCACAAATTAGTACATGTGTGCACAACAAAAAGTAAATTATTATTTTATAAGCTCAAATCCAAGGGGAAAGTTAGAACATAACGTGTACTATGTATAAATATATAGTATCAAATTCATTCGTAAGCCACGCCAACCCTCTAGGCAATTTTATTGGCTTGTAATTAAACAGGAACTTATTTGTGATGTCGCAGTTCATGTTCGCAATAAGTGATTAGTGAATTTTTGAGAGGGCTTATATTCTTACATATATGGTTACCGTTTCTTATTGATTACATGATTTTTGTGTTTATTTTTAAACTGTTTCAAAACTTCACGATCAAAATCAATAAATCGGATCACATTGTTTAGTGCTAGAAAGCTCAGATGTTCACCTCTCAAGACAGCGCTTCCAAAAGCACTATATTTAATCCAAGAAAAAAGCGAGACAAAGCTTCTCTACGGCAAAGCACGCTGACAGCAATACTAGCCATCTACACTTTCACCTATTCCCAATGGGCTCTGTGCGCCAGCTCTTCAGCCTGGTGCTCATCCTAAACAGGAGGGTAGCGTTCTCCGCTTCTTCAGAAAATGAGGGGTTTACGATCTGGTACTATTCGGATTATTTTGCGGAACCTCAATAGATCGGTTACGCCTTTTCTCAGCCTGTGGCTCGCCGAACACCGGCAGATGGCGATCGGGAATTATCGTTCTTGTCTTTTGTATCTCTGCTACATAGTTCTCGCGTCAACTTAGACCTCTTCAAGATCCTCACAGTAGCCTTCCTATGTCCAGCCATGACTGCGTTTGATGATGACCTATCTTCAGACCTATCTTCAGACTTCAAGTTGCTAGTCAAGTTTTCCTCCACTAGTACCATAAAATTCCCAAGTCTTTCTCTGTCCCGTTATTGTGAATGCGCGAAACCTCGGAGGCCTACGTTTTCCACTAATGTTTGCCACATTGTGGCTGGTAAGGGAGCGCTGCATCGCATGGTTCTAATGGTGCCTGGGCGGTTGCCCTTCCACATTTTTATGGGTTCCGGTCTCATCCTTCGTTGTTGTTATTTTACTAAACTTCTTGTTTTCGTTCGCGGAGAAAGGGTTCGTCGTAAGAATCATTTCCGTATGTCATAGCGATTTCTCTGCGTTGCCCATTTCCCATCCGCACCCTCGCAGAAGGTGCAGTCGGAAGATTTTGGCTTTTATAAAGTTTTTCAAACAATTTGTAACTCAAATTTGTGGATTTTCTTTTTGAAATTAAGACCACCAAATTCATGCCCGTGAACCAACCTATCAGTAAGACAAATTTCTAACTATGTTATAGGCAAGTAAAATTTTCTACAGGCTGAATTTGCTCGTGACTGACATCACACACTTTAGTAAATGAAAATGCTGACACATACATACATGTATGTATGTACATACACATGCATACCTACCTATACTGTCCGACGCCTTTACTACTCGTATATTTACACATTCTTCCACACCAAATGCTTTGCATTCTCAATAAAATATTCTCGACTCGCTGGTCCAGCAGGTGCTGCTAGTCACAGCGCTCCATTACAGTGCCTATGTAGTACTTTCAAATATGGCGCTCATACTATTTAAACTCTTTTACTCCCCTTTCCCACTATCCTCATCTTTGTTTCAACGTTTCTTCTTGGTCGATTCCATCTAACATATGTGCTTAACTAACTTCATTTACAGGTTTTTCAATGCAATTCTTTCCTCTGCCATCCTCTCCCGCTTTGCCAGCTATTGTAAAGCACTGCTTCCGCTCTTTAATTTTTTGTCACCTATTTATTTCGTATACGAGCACAGTTTTTGTTTTCGATTTTCTTCTACTACCTGTAACTGACAGTGGTTTGGTGGCCACCAGTCGTTTGTGTCCCTCTGTGTTCGAATTCCGGCAGACGGAAGCCACATTTCATGGACAATGGCCAAGTAAAGCAGGAATATTGTGGCTGCACATACCCGTGTAGATACGAACAAAAATAGAGATTTTGTTTTCGTAATTGAAATTCATATGTATGTATGAGAAAAATGTAGGGATACATATGCAAGCACAAATGCATGCATAGCAAAAAAAGTCAAAGGGAAGGTGGTATGTGGAGCAGGCTATAAGCGTTTTGCTCAACAATGTGCTCCGGGCATATGCAGTTACATGCATTTGTAAAAAAGTATGTCTCCATATATGTAAGTAGATTAGTACCTATGTATGCGTTAAGTGTAGAAATATGTCATTCCTTTGCTTAAACTATTGGCTAAATTTCGGGCATAAGCATATGTACACATGTATGTATTTGTTTTTTGCTGTCGTTTTAAGGCATCTGATTTCATTTTTCGTCTATACAAAAGTAGTCACAATGGCTGGCTAATTTAAGATATGGACGTGGTGACTAGGACCCAAGCTTACTCACGGTATAGACATCTTTACATATGGAACGAATATTAGGGCGGGTCAATTTGTGTGGGAGATTTTTTCGACTATGCGCGTATAGCACATACCAAATTCGGCAAATTTGCCGAAGAAACCACGGATCTAAAATCTAGAGTTTGCCAAATTGCGAAAATAGGTTGCGTAGAATTTTTCTGTAGTGTAGTAAAGAAGTACTTAAATTCTGTATGAAAATTTTTGAAAACATGTTGTAGGCGTTTTTTGTAATAAAAAATCCAATTCTGCATTTTTCTTCTTCTTAAAACTTCCACCAGAAACGAAACGTATTTTCCCAATTTGGCAAATTCAAAATTGTCTTTAGAGTAATGGTTTCTTTGGCAAATTTTATTAGAATTACACGTAGAATCCTCCCATGCCAAACACGCATTGTCAAAAAGAAATTTACCCGCCCTAACATACATTAGGTAGGTATGTGAATATGCACAATTATTGGAGTGAGCGATGATTGTGAAATATTCATTAATGGAGAAGATTTCGCTGCTTCCTTTTCGATGCAATGTTTTAATCTGCTGGGATTGTTTTTTGATGCAACGGAATTTTCCCCAAAAACCACATACCAATATACATAACTACAAAGGATTTAAGCTTTGTTTTGTTTATGATCAAGTTGCCGGTAATGACCGCCGATCTTGTTCGAGAGTCGTAAAGTGTTTTTGTAAACCTTTGCAAGCCTTTGAGAAGGAAGTGTTTGGTGAGTTTGTTGCGGTGTTGATCCTACGACACACCTAAAACCAGGGCTCTTTAAGGAATGAGCAAAAAAATACCTAAGAACTCTCGGCAGTCTGCAAAGGGTACTAGCTTATTGGGTACAAGCCGAAAGGATTGGATTATTCTTCAAAAGGTTCTGTCGCATTTGCGAGGATCCGGGCTCAAGAGAGACAGTTGAATACTCGCTGTGCTAGCCCTCGAAAAGGCTAGAGACACTCTATAAATCATTCCTGCAGAATATTTGAGAGTGCAACAGCCTCTTTGTATTAATTATTGAGATTTTTTAAAGCCACAAAATGGATCTATGGTGCAAGAGTTGTGGAATAAAAATGACAAAACTTGGTAATTGCTTATCAACAGGTTGACGTTTCACAAAAACCAAGCAAATATTTGGAGTGGCAAAAAATAAAGCACTCAGAGACGGATATTTAAAAAAAGTCAAATTTACAAAGAAATTCGGAGGAAATTATTATAAACTGATATCTACATATATCTCTAGCAATTTCGGGTTTGCTAAATTGTAAAATAGAATGCGCAACTTGTAAAAAATTTAAATTCTTGAACCTGTTTCTGGGTTATCGTTCTAATTTAGATTACGTTTAGTTGATTGTCCAAGATAAAGCACACACTTGGATATTTAGCAGATTGTGCTTCGCGATACCACGTAACTTTCTAAGAATCTTGGTCCAGTCCAATAAAGCACGGCCGTCCTTGTCAACTGATATTTCCATCGTAAAGGAGGCATTCCTCTCCTTTTACTACCACCAGAGGAAACTGTAGTGAATTATTTCGGTATTGTCGTCGAAAACCCGTAAAGTTCCTAAATATTCTATAGCTTGGTATTGAAAATGGGCGTAATCGTATAACGTAATTCCCGAAAATTTAAAAAATTACGTAAATATTAAATCCAAATTGTTGACAGTTATACGACGTTTCCACGATTCGTAATTTGCTGTCTAAGTAATTCGCTA